AATGATCAAATACCCATCCCTCCACCAGTGCCCATTTCCCACCACCACGGATACCCAGTATCCCTCCCACCCCCCACCCCCACCCCCATCCCACCCTGCCTCTGTGGCAGGGAATTCCCCTCTGTTCTCTCTCTCCTTTTGGGTGTTGTGGTTTGCAAAAGAGGCATTGGGTGGCAATCATGTTTGCTCTATAGTCTACTTTCAGCATGCTTCTCCTATCCTGGGAGGATCCTCCCAACACCCTTTATTTGGTGCTCCCTTCTCTATCTGAGCTGCCTTTTCTCCTAGCAGAAATTTTGCCACAAATGATGCTTTTTCATGCACATAAGTGCAACACCACACTCACCACCTGTTTACCCCCTCCCTCTCACAAGGACCCCAAGAACCTCCCTTCCCCCACTCCCTCCCACAAACTCAGTCATTTGGATCAGTTCTCCCATCATGTCACATTTTGAATCCTTTATTTACCACCTCTCTATGTATCTTTACATCCCACATATGAGAGATCATCTAGATCCCCTTCCTTCTGACTGACTTCACTCAGTATGATATCCTCCAGTTCCATCCATGCTGCTGCAGATTGCATGATTTTTCTCTTTTTCTCTTATTTTCCCCCCAAGCATATTTCCTTTCAGGCGAAGTTTATTCATGACACAACTTAATTTCTCTCTTCAAACACCAACTGTTCCCCCAGTTTAACAAAACCCAGGATTTCTTTCTTCGTAATAAAAGATGAAGCTTAGAATCATTTGTTGCTTTCTGTTTTATATGTCCTCCCATTTCAGAATGTATGCATCTCTTAATGTATGTATTCTCTTAGATCTGCAGTTGGGGTCAGAAAATTCCACCCTCAACACAATCTTCTTTTTAGTTTTAGCCTTTTCCTGAAAAATTGCCTTAGTCTGACCCCCATAACTACTCTCCTTACTGTTATCATGCCACTTTCCTTGGGCATACAGACAATCCTTGCCTTTTGTGTACTCTGTGACTTTGTGGGACTGATGTTTCCCACATTTCTTTAAAAATGTCTGGTGGGTTTTTGGTAACTTCACCATGCTTGTGAAAGCAGTATCTGCAAGGAAAGGATGTGCTTCGTTCTTTGTTCTTTTTCATGAGTATGTGAAGCAAGGATGTTTTAATTGACACTTATTTAGAAAGATGTGAGAGGAAAGGGCGAAATACAAGTTTGAGAGAGAATACAGGCTTCTCCAAAGTGGAAAAATGCAAGCAAAGAAACAGAGGCAAGTAAGAGTAATATATCTTCAAGGGAGTATACAGGTTTGAAAAGCAAGCTGAATTTATTCTTTCTTAGATCTGTATAGTATTCCTTATATGCTTAGCTAAATTTGAGAAAATAATAGATATTAAATGTTACAAATTAGGCTTAGTCTTTATGGAAAACAATATGGACATCTTTCAAAAATAGTAATAAAACTTCCATACAATCTAATGATACCATTAGATACCATTATATATATATCATTTTATATATATATATCAGAAACTCTTTTTAAAAAATGGAATCACTCAGAGATACTCAGTTACAAGATTGTTGATTTGTTGATGTCATACACTGTTCCAATACCTATCCATTCACCAGTGTACATTTCCCATCACCAATGTCCTCAGTTTCCCTCCCGCCATCCTCCCCACATGCCCCCTGCCTCTCCAGTGTGCCTCTGAGTCAGGCAATTTTCTTGTCTATCTCTCTCTCACTTTCTCTTTCCTTCTTGGCATTATGGTATGCAATATAGGTACTGAGAGGTTATCATTTATATCCCTTTACCTACTTTCAGCATCCTTGTTTAGAGTCCCTTCTCTATCCTAACTGCCCTTCTATCATAACTTCTTGATACATTTATCTGTAATTTGGTTTGGAGGTTGTTTTTATATCTTGGCTATTGTACCAATTACAGTGCCGAACAAAGTTAAGTATATATCCTTTTGAATTAATGTTTTTGCATTTGAGGGATAGATGCCAAGAAGTGGTATCATTAGATTGTATGGAAGTTTTATTACTATTTTTGAAAGATATCCACATTGTTTTCCATAAAGACTAAGCCTAACTTGTTAAATTTAATATCTATTATTTTCTCAAATTTAGCGAAGCATATCATTACAAAAAAGAAGGAAAGAAGGAAAGAAGATAAAAGAAAAGAAAAGAAAAGAAAAGAAAAGAAAAGAAAGAAAGAAAGAAAGAAATCAGGCTGTGAGGACCAAAGAAGGGCAAGTTTGGTCATGATTCAATAAGTTTTATTTCTTTATCCCACAAGTGTCCCTTGGGATTCTTTCAAGTCTGCTCAAAATCCCCTACTGGGATGTCATATTTTATTATCTGGATGATAAAAAGCTTCAGATTTCTTTAGGTGTGAAAGTAGCTGTGTGATGTGCCTAGTGATCAACTCTGACCTTGGAATTTGTGTCAGCAGTGGATGATAATGTGGTTTATTCTTTTTCTCCATCTTTTCTCAAAGTTTTCCCAGAACTTGCTCAGATAGTCTCAAGAACCTTATCATTGACCTTGGTCAAAAGTTTTAGAATTCTTATCATGTTGGTTTCGGTATTTGCGTTTGGTCCTCACAGGAATTCATCGTGTGGACTACTATTGGGCACCCGGCAATACTTCAGTTACTTTGTTCTTACGAGGTCTTTAGTAATGAGCTTTCTAGGTTCCCTGTAGATGTTTATTACAGCATAAATATACATTATAGTGAGGAATTTCCAGACTTTTCTTGGCAAAGTCTCCCTTCATAAAGATCATACCCAGTGGACTCATCAGGAGACTGGTCTTGCAGAGTCCCTTGCTGGAATTGCTCCCTTCCATTGAGGGAGGGCAGAATTCTAATACTGCAGTAACATCATAGAAATGATTGATTGAATCAGTGTCCTTCACATTTACAGTGAACGCCAACTCAATGCCCCAGAGGCTCTCCTGGGGATGTCAGCAAAGTGGTCATTGCACTCTGGGCTGATAATCCTCAACATGCCTTACTTGCTAATTTGGTGCTTTGTTTTCTGTTTGTACAGCAGGAACTGCTCCATCAATCTGCCTTCATAGTTAAAAAGTATCCCTGAGTTGCATGTCAATAGAACTTGCATCCTGGCAATAGTGTGCTTGCTCCTCATCTGGGTTGTTATCCTCTTCATCAGAATTTGCAGTCTCTTCACCGGCAATGCCAAAGGCAATAAAGCTAAGAGATTGTGTTCTCTACACTATTGAGGTGGTGCCATTAGACCCACCACTGATAAGCTTTGTGAAACAGTCACAGTTGAATAGAAGGAAGCCTATTTCTTTCTTTCTCCAGTGTCCTAAACTCTCCTGTGCATCTCAGTGTACCTTGGCATTTGCCAGTGTTGCTGAGCTGTTTACTGTCCCTGCCCTGAGACATAATGACTGTGGGCTGAGGAGGCAGCCACTGTGTGAATGGTAGGACAGACAGTGAAAGCCACTGGCAAAGGGTGGTGGACACAGTATGAGCTGCTTCAGCAGTGAGGCTCTTGGGCAGTCTGTGTGCCTGCACTTTGCCTCAAGAACACTGCTCAGGAACCCCCACACTTCTGTATTTGAAACCAGCCTTTCCCTGGGGAACTCTATGACATAAGTCAGTGTGAAAATTACCTGACCTACAACCATCCCAGCTTCCAGGTATCTCAGTCACAGCAGAGGCTGACGGTCTACTAGGTTGGTACCCCATTGTGTACGCTCATGAGCCTTATGTACTGGTGGCAGCCATGTGACATCTTCCCTTTACCTACCAGACTTTGGCATCACAATCCTCCCGGGGACCCACCTTAAGACTTATGAGAGGGTCCTAACGCCTACAACTGACTTTGAAATGACCTATGAGTCTTGACATTCCTAATCTAGTATGTCTAGGGTCTGCCTTAAAGGTCCTTAAAGATTCATACAAGCTCTAGTATCCTCCCCTATCTTGGACAGTGGCTCAACCTTCACATTCAGTCTTGAATTTCTGATCGACAGGATTCAAGTAAGTTTTGGGCCCACTCAGCCTGCTGGCTCTGGGTCTTCAAGGATGCTCTCCAGGGAAAAATGGTGCGTAACTTCCTTGTTGCTTTGATGCCTGCCATAGGTTGGAATTCTTCCCTCCCCTCAGGTCTGCCAGTGTAAGGCTCATCTCCTCTTGATCTTACCTGCTATTGGTCCCCAGGAGCCTAAAAGAAGGAATATATAGTAGGCACAATGTGACAGGAGCAGTGAAACCCTTAGGCCTCATCTTTGCCTCTGGAAATACCTCAAACCCCCGTACTTCCACCCACCGGCTTTGCCCCTTACCCCCAATACTTCAGCCTCTATGTCCCTAGAGGAGGAACTGGGGATGTCCTATCAGCTGTTCCAAAGTTTCCTGGGCTGCCAACAAGGGTGGGTCTCTGTGGTGCTTGCAGACTCAGCCTGCTATTATCATAGCACCCCCAGTACTATAGTGGAAACTTACAAAGAGCAGGTGCTCAATTCCTGTTAGAGAAATAAAAGAGGAAATGAACCGAAAGTTGAGTTTATTGTGATTTAAGTGCTCCTACAGTTTGAACAAAATAAGTAAATTCAATACATACTGTTTATCATGACAGCAAAAAGCAAAAGGAACAAGGCAATCCAAGAATAAACCATCCGTTACATTTGTGTCACTGTTTTCTGATACCAACTCCTCCCGTGGGATATCTTCCCATTGGATGAAATGTCCCTTCCCAATAATCAGTTTCCTTGTTTTGCCACAAAAAAAGCAGAGATCACTTGTTTTTAACATTGTGCGACAAATAACAAAACTTCAACATAAGCAGAAAAATATGTCTATGATAATATGCTTGCATGCTGAGAAAATCAATATTTCCATTATAGGGAAAATTTGGGGGAACAAAGTCAACTCCCAAGTTACTAGGGTGATAGGATAAGGAAAATAAGATATAGGGTGTTTTTTCAAATCTCACTCCATGTCACTACATCATGTATTTGGGTGACTGCATGCTTATAATAAGAGCATGATCTAATAGTTGGAAGGGTTATTGGATGCAGGCTTGGGAGGCCGACGGGACTTGGCAGCCCTTTCCTTTGCTCTCTCTCTTGCTCTCTCTTCCTCATCCCTCAGAGCCTCCTCATACATATCAGGGAAGTTAGAAGGGATGCTGTCATTGATCTTAGCTATCACTTCTAACACTTTCATCTTTGTCGTCTCAGTGTAGGCTCTTGGACCCCACAGGAACTCGTAGACTGGAGGATCACTGTGGGGAATCAGCTGGTACTCAAGGTACCTTTCTCGCACGAACTCTTGGGTGATAAGCCTACGGGGCTCCCCAAAGATCAAGTGCCTCCTTCCAGGGAAGATCCCCAACACACTTAGAAAATCCCAGATCTCCTCCTCAAGGGCCCGGTTGCCCTTCATGAAGATCACGCCAAGTAGCGTCATCAGAAGCCCCATCTTGGGCAAACCCCCACCGCAGCTTTCATCACCCTCACCCAGCTTGCTAATAAGAATATAGGTGTGGCCACTGGGATACGTTTCCCTTAACTCGAGGCCAAACACCAGCTCCATGCGCTCAGAGACTCTCCTTATAACTTCAGGGAAGCTATCCTTGTACCTCTTGCTGACAATCTTCAGCAATGCGGCCTGAGTAATGGGCTCCTTCATTTTATACTTCTCCAGCAGGAATTGCACCACCATACATGTTCTCCTGACCAGAGGATCTTTGCGAGTGCTTGCAATATACAGTGCGGCCCTGGAGGTGCATGGTTGTTCCTCCTCCTCCTCCTCCTCCTCCTCATCCTCCTCCCTGCTGTCACTTATTCTTAGACCTGCAATATCTAGCTCAGAACAGACAGATCCCTCTTCCTCAAGCTGCCGGAGCACATGCGCACCAGAGTAGCCTGCAGCAGTGCCCTCAGAAGCAGCAGAGGTGGAGGGGGAGGGCTGGTCTCCCTCAGCACCTTTGGTCTCCGCACTTATGTTATTCCGAATCTTCCCTTGGGTCTGCTGACGTTTCATTCGAGCCCGGAGCTTACTCTTCTGACCACGAGGCATGATGAAACTGATGTGGTGTAGAGGGTACTGGGCTGGGTACAGTAGTGGATGAGTCTGGTACCTGGAAGAAGAAGACAGGGTGAGCACTGTAGACAGTGTCTTTCCTCATTGGTTTTCCCAAGACCCTCTGTGTGAGCTCCCTAAGAGCACTGCCTTGCTTCCCACAGGGATCCCATGTTCTGGTGAACTTGTTCCCTGAGAATCCTGGAGAGGAAATGGTAGTGAATTTGGGCCATAGCCAGACTTTCCTGCATGGCTGTTGCCAGGGTGACCAGAATGTCTGCAGATGGAGTGTACTTGAGGTATGTCACTCTCGGTGGGCTATCAGGACCTTATGCTAAGTTTTGGCAATATGCAGGAACATCACTTTGGTTGCTTACAGGTCCTAGAACTCACCTTTTTGCTTATAGGCCAATTCAACCTTTAAAAAATTTTGATTGTAAAACAAACAAACATACATACATAAACAAAAAATAAATAAAAATTTTGATTGTGGCTGGAGCAATAGCACAGCGGGTAGGGCGTTTGCCTTGCATGTGGCCAACCCGGGTTCGATTCCCAGCATCCCATATGATCCCCCAAGCATTGCCAGGGGTAATTCCTGAGTGCAGAGCCAGGAGTAACCACGTGTATCATTGGGTGTGACTCAAAAAGCAAAAAAAATTTATTGGGGAAGGGCATCCCCAGCACTGCTCAGTGCTTACCCCTGGCTCTGTGCTCAGAGATCACTCCTTGTGGGTCTCAGGGATCTACAAAAGTTCTGAGGACTGAACCCAAGTAAGCTACATTCAAAAAAAGCATCTCAGTATCTCTCTGGCCTGTGAATTCAATGTTAGAACAAACCTCTTAGCTTCCCTTAGCTTTGACCACAAAAGTCAACACACAAAACAGCCTCTTGGGAGCTTCAGCCTGACAGGGTATTGCTGGTTTGGACACTCCCCCGTTTAGCCAGCAGGAGCCAGGCCATGTTCTCCCTTGATCCCTCTCCACTGAGTGGGTGATTCCCCAGTCCACTGAGTGACCCTGGATTCCTGGTAGAGCCTGTCTGTCCTCTCTCTTGAGCTAGGTTGTCTAGTCTCGGCAGCATCCATGTCTCCCTACATACTCTCTAGACTTATACTAACTCCTCCAATATCATTGTCAGTGACTTTATGTATTTCCCTTTGGAACTGACACATGCAGTTTAGAATCTTCTAGTAAAGGAATAGAAATTAATTGTCCAGGGAAGATAGAAGAACACAGGAAGAACATTCCTCAAATAAATCTTGTCATTTTCCTCCACTGTAGGCTCAGACCTGATTCAACCTCAGATATTGCCTCATATCTTTCTTTTTACATATTTCTTGCCAATTCAGACCTTCTGTTCCTCGAATTTCTAATTTTTCTTCTGTTAATATTGTTTCCTCACTACGGTTTTTTTTTAAAGTTTTGAGATTGATTTAGGGAACAGTTCCTTTTCTTTTTAAGTCAGTATTTATCAGGCTGAGAGCAGTGGGTTATTGGCCACTGATAGTGCATGTCTCTGATAGAGCACTAGGATCTAAACGAAAACAATATTTAGTCCGACACATTGAGGTATGATAAATCTGCTTATATAAACAAAAATGATGAGAAATACTAACATTTGCATTATGATATGTGAATAAATAGAAAAAGGATATCTGTTAAAAGGGGGTTATATACCAACTTAAAGAATATATGCCATTATACAAATATATATTTCTTGTCTTGCGGTAGACATTCTCATTTGCCAGAAATGTATGTGACCTTCTTTATAACACAGGGCATGACTGTATTCCATGGTATTTCAAATATTGAATTGTGATTTACATACTTTAACAGATCAGGTGAAAACTATTGAAATGACAGTTATCTAGTGATTCTTCACAACAAGAAAGTCAGAGTCACTGCAGTCAGAGGGTGGATTTTTATGCCTACTTTTTCCTTACAACTATGTAACCAGATGTAAATTTGCAAACTTCATCACAAGGCAAATGAGAAATCTCTCCTGTGTCCCTTTGGCTTCTAAAAATACTTTGCAAAGTATAGAGTGTGGAGGAGGCTCTCCTGCTAAAGTATGCACTACAAGCTCTCCCTGAAGGGGAAAGAATAGGGGGGGGGGCTCACAGAGGAGGACAGCGGAAGTAAATGAAACCCTAGGAGATTAGGAGAATCTCCCCACATCACAGTGGGAGAAACCTAAGGCAGGGAGAGAGAGTGACAAGACACAATCCATGGCCACCAGAACCATCCAGCCCTGCAGGTCGCTGTGCATCTGGGATCCTTCTGAATCATTTTGTTGTATACAGAGATGAGGTGAAAACAGTTCTGTATGTTACAGTGATTCCTCCTCTTATGTTTAAGCAGCCAAGAGGGACCCTTCGTCCCAGGCCTCTCTCTTTGTGTATCTAGCTATGCCTCTCTCCTTCTGTCTTCTGGTGGAAAAAGGATCTTTTTAGTTCAGACAGTGGATTTGGTTGTCTGCTATGCATTATCGGTTGTTTACTATATTTTATTCCTGTTTTGGCATTAGAAAGAAAAAGACCACATTTAGGGCTCAGGTTGTTTAAAATTTACACAACATTTTTCATACCATCTGTTTTTATTTACTATCTACTATCCATTTCTGCTTTTATCTTTTATCTTGGCTTTTTAAAATTTATTTATACTTTAATAATTCATATAATTTTACCTCATGGTTTTAAGCAAATATCCTTAAATCTCTGGTACCAATGGTGCACATAAACATTAGTATATAAAATAAGCACTGTTACAAAGGGAATGTAAGGTATATTGAAATTTTAAAAAAACAGGGATTCTGTTTCAGAAATTAGAATACAGAAGCATATAGCATGTAAGGCATTTTCTTTACACACTGCAGGTGTGGACTCAATCCGTTGCACCAAGATGGTCCCCTGAGCATTTTCAGGAGTAATCCTTGATCTCAGAGCCAGGAGTAAGCCCTGAACACAGCCAGATATGGTCCCGCTCATTATTATTATTATTATTATTATTATTATTATTATTATAGCTTCACACGATAATTGTAAATCAAGGTTTTCTACATAGTATTAAATGAGTTAGTCATGATGTTAAACTGTATACTCTATCTCTACAGATCTTAATTTTTTTTCACTCAGACCCATGGTAAATGGGTTTATTGCAAATTTATATCTTTCATCTCTTTGTGAGTAAAGTAAAATATTTGCTTTTCTCTCTTTGCACCTTCAGAATGCTTTTGATGCTTCATGGCACTATGTTGGTTTGCATAATCCAGTTATAATGTCTTTCCCTTCTGCCATAGGGTCCACCTCCATACAGAAAGCAAATTCCAAAAGTCAGCTAGAAAACCCAAAGTCTTTTTCCAGGGAAACCGAGTCGACAACAGCACATTCCCAGTATTGGCTAATGAATGGGGTTAATGTTCAGTATTTGAAAGTTTAATTATTTTGGGGTTGGATGAGCTTTTTTCCTTTTATTAAGCATGAATTTCCCTGAATGACTAGTATGGTTCAGATTTTATTTGAAGACAGGGGAATAAAGGAATTAAAATAGCTTTAACATAGTCTAATAAGAATTAGGTGTGAATAACTTGGGTAGGATATCAAAATCAGTTATGTTAGCAAGAATATAGGTAAGGAATTCTAGATATACAGATCTAAAAAAAACCTTGATGCTACAGAATAATAGGTGATATTCACTATCCTTTAAGTACCTTGATTAGATAAGTTTAGTTTTGATACTAAATATCCCTAAATTAAAAAATATTCTCCAGGTGTTCAAGTTTCGACCCCGAGTGAGCACTACAGCTAATGTGAGAGTACCATAAGCAGGCATATACACAACCTTGTATATTAATACAACCTTGTGTATTAATTAATAAATCTGGGACTTTAATTCACAGGGATAGCAACAAGGATGAAGGGACAAAAGAATCAAATATGCAATAAAGAAATGGAGAGAATAACTGATCTGACACCAAAGGTGTAAGTAGATAGATAAGAATGTAAAGTAAAGTAAAGTAAAGGCCCTCCCGTTGATCATCGATTTGCTCGAGCGGGCCCAGTAACGTCTCCATTGGAGACTTTGTTGTTACTGTGTCTGGCATATCCAATACTCTCGGTAGCTTGCTGGGCTCTCCAAGAGGGGCAGAGGAATCGAACTCGGGTCGGCCATGTTGGCTGCGTGCAAGGCAGATGCCCTACCTGCTGCGCTATCGCTCCAGCCCATAGATAAGAATGAAATAACAGATTGTTGCAGGACAGTGTGTGAATAAAAACTAGAGTTTTTAGTATAGAAAACACGTTTGTGAGCCGTAACTTGGTTTCCTATTCTAACTCAGATGAAAATACAAGGCAGGGTCCAAGTGGAGGTGTAAGGCTTCCTGAATTTTTCCTTCTCTTCAGTATTAAGACTGGGCCGTGTGTATGCCTTCACTTTTAATAGATTCATTTTATAAAAAGAAAAGACTGTGAAGAATGATTTTGAGGGTCGCTGATCTTTTCAGGTTATCTGATTATACTTGGGTAGATAATCATATTGTCTTCAAATATTATTTATTCTGTTCTTTAGTCATGTAATGATTTTATTCAGCAGTGTTGCCACTGTGTCATTGTACACAGAAGCAGTGCGTGGGGTTCAGAGCCTCTTTATCTCCTTGGACATACATTTTGTGAGTAGTGAGAAGAGAAATGAATGAAAACACCCAAGGGCTCAGTCGGGCATGTAGGGAAGGAATTGAACAGTGTGGGGGTGGTGTTTGGAGCTAAACCATAGTGGGGGGTCCAGTCTCAGCAAGGTCACTTACCAGCCTTGTGAACTTGAAATATTTACAGACTATTCATCTGTGAAAGGAATCTGCTAAGTCTTACCCTGGAGGAATGTTGGAATATATGTACTAAATGTGAAGCACCTGCCATACTGATTAATAAATCTGGGCCTTTAATGAATAGCAGCTCAGATAGGGTTGTTATGAACACAAAAATAGCACTTTCCCATCA